AGATGCTGGACCTCCTGCCTTGAGGGCGGGGGGCTGGACTCGATGACCTCTCGAGGTCCCTTCCAGTCCTATGATTCTGTGATTCTATCGGAGTTTTACTGTTATAGCATTCTGTCAGCCCACCTCAGACTTATTGAGTTGAAATGTATTTCTTAGGAAAATACAATAAACAACAAAAGTAGAAGGTGATAATTTAAAATGTAACTTAGCTAAAAGTAAAATAGAGTAACTTAAAAATTTTGGGCAAGTTGAATCACTTGAGTTAATGTTCACAGTCTTATGCATTTGCTAGCTACACTGAAATATGAGCTAGAATTTTTTCCCTCATTTTTCCCTCTTCTGAGTCACAATACTTTTTGTTTTCTCTCTCATCATTTGGGGTACGTCTAGACTACAAGCCTCTTTCGAAAGAGAGTGCCTAGACTGCAACCTCTTCTTTCGAAAAAGTGAGCCGCTTTTTCAAAAGAGAGCACCCAGGCAGTTTGAATGCTCTCTTTCGAAAAAGCCCTGTTTGCATTCAAGAATGACTTTTTTCGAAAGAGCACTTTCGAAGAAAGGCGTTCTTCCTCGTGAAATGAGGAGTACCGCCATTGAAAGAAAAGCCATGTTCTTTCGATTTAATTTTGAAAGAACGCAGCTGTAGTCTAGACGCAGGTGAAGTTTTTTTGAGAAAAGGCTACTTTTTCCGAAAAAACCCTGCAGTCTAGACACAGCCCTAGAGATAATCTTTCAGCAGGTAATGCAAGCATGTAAATGCTCAACTACTTCCAATAGAAAAGAGGAGACTGAGGGGGGATATGATAGAGGTAGATAAAATCATGAGTGATGTGGAGAGGGTGAATAAAGGAAAGTTATTTACTTGTTCCCATAATATAAGAACTAGAGGACACCAAATGAAATTAATGGGTAGCAGGTTTAAAACTAATAAAAGAAAGTTCTTCACACAGTGCATAGTCAACCTGTGGAACTCCTTGCCAGAAGAGGCTGTGAAGGCTAGGACTATAACAGAGTTTAAAAAAGAGCTAGATAAATTCATGGAGGTTAGGTCCATAAAAGGCTCTTAGCCAGGGGGTAAGGAATGGTGCCCCTGGCCTCTGTTTGTCAAAGGCTGGAGAAGGATGGCAGGAGACAAATTGTTTGGTCACTGTCCACCCCCTCTGGGTCACCTGGCACTGGCCACTGTCAGCAGACAAGCTACTGGGCTAGATGGACCTTTGGTCTGATTCTGTATGGCCATTCTTATGTTCTTATGTTCTAGCTAAATCTTCATTTTGACATATTTGGAACTTCCCTGTGATAATTAATGAATGTATTGAATTAACTCAACAGGAGTTTTGCCTGCAAAAAAACAATCAAACAAACAAACAAACAAACAAACAAACAAACAAAAAACAGGAAGGAAATGAATGGCTCAAGATAAGCTTCCACTGAGCAAACACCTAAGAGCTGTTAAACTACAATGCCAAAACCATTGGCTCTGGGGACTCTGGCTCAATCTTTTGCTGAGCCTGCAGGATGGGTTTTAATCAGAAGTGACAAAGCCTGGGAACACAACAGAACAAGGGAACTACAGCATGCTTTAGAAGGGACTCTCAGCAGAGGCATTGTAGTTGCAGGGAACCAAACTGCGACACAGCATCTCACTGAAGGTATCTGAAGAAATAAGGATTGCCTATGTTATCACCAGAAGATGGCATGCCTTTAGGTAAGATAGCCATATGTGTATACTGTTTGTTGTTTTAGAATCCCTTTTCTCTTTTTTTGTTCTTATGAATAAAATACACACTACTTTTGTTTTAACAGGCTGTCTGATCACTATACTTCACTGGTCCTGAAGTGAAGAACTACAGATGTCCAAACTAGGTTGGACCTACAGGATAAGAACAGTTGATATGTAGTGTACTGCCAGGCCCTGGCCTAGGAGGGGAGAATTGTATGATTCCATCCCAGCATAGGTAAAGGCAAAAGAGTTGGCACCTGATGGGTGCATTCAGAGAATTCATAAAGGGGAAAGAAAAGCAGCTACCCTAATAATCACTTATGCACAATGCAGACCACTTATTCCTATATCATAATTCATTTTAGCTTTCATAAATACAGACGGAACACTTTAATCAAATACACAAATTATCTCAATACAAGTCTTGTACACTCATGCCTGGTCTACACTACAGAGGAAAGTCATCTTACGATACGCAGCTCCACCTATGTTAAAGATGTAGTTGGAGTCAACATAGATTAAATCATGTTTCTGCGCCATTCACACAGCATCCCTTACACTTTGTGATGAGCAGGAGTACTGGTGCCAAATGGGGGCCCTCTGAGTTCAATTTAGCGGGTTTATATTAGACCCTTTAAATCAAATCCTGGAAGATTGACCATGGCAGCGCTGATCTTCTACATAGTGTAGGCATGGCCTCAGAGACTATACTATAAAATAATCCTCAGCTAAAAGCTTTAAAGTTGGGAATGGCAGAAAATGATGTTTTCTGCCTGTCTCTCCAGTTCCTGCTGCCCACTCTTTCACAGTCCTACCATGTGAAAACAGAAGTAATTATACATTTTTTGAAGTTGCTTGGTAGTGCTATTATAGATAATGGCACAAATTCTTGTTGCATCATGCAAGCAAGGTAGTAACAAAGTTCAACAGGTCTTTATTTACCAAAGGTGAAACCTCTTTACAAAGCTGCTGTTGCTCCCTTCTGTAGCTCTCACTCAGGCCTGGCCCATCTCCTCCCCCCTCCTTCCTGTTTCCTGTGCTTCCAGATTCCCAACAGACAGTGCTCCCAGTTCTAATAATTACAAGCAGCATCTAAAACACCACATTTCTGTTTAGACAAATGCAGTTAGACCTTAGAAGAATGGCTTTATGATAGGTGTGATGCAGTCATTTTTGGAAATGGTGGTGTAAAGCAATGTCTCTGAGCAGAAGCTTTTCTTCAGTGCAGAACACTTGCCTACATGACACCCAAGCAAAAACACACATAGGGGCCTGATTGTAACTGGCAATGTGGCCCTTTTACTTAGGCAGTGCAAAGGGGCCATAAAGTGAGTGTAAATTATGTTTGTAGTTTAGGAGTTTCAGTCTCACTTATAAATGGCTTACTATTAATTACCAAGCAGCTTACTGTATTAATCTATGATATTCATAGTGTGCCCATCACTACAATACCAGGTAACATTCATATAACAATCTATCACATGCTCACAAACACAATATATTAACTCTGCCTATCTCACTGATAGGCACTTACTCTCCTTGCTGATTTCAACTTCCATTACCTGATCTTGGGATTTCTTTTTCTTCTTCTTCTTGCCCCAACATCCTGAACTCTCTGCATCTTTGCCATTGGCATCACCACACAGTAACCCGTCGAGTTCATCTGTTCCCATCTGCTGTCCCTGAGATGTTTCTGCAGCGAGCCTGTATGAGAGGTTCCTTAAAATGCACACACAGTTTTCAACGGTCTAAAAAGGAGAAAAAGAGAAAAAGGCTAGAAAACTCTTCCCTTTTAGGTATATTTTGAATGAAGGAACACAATCAATCTTTGCACATACATTTGCCAAAGCTATTTTTTTCTATTTGTTTCTCAATACATTGTTTGAAAAGTTTAGAAAACATGGCAGGACCATAAAATCTTTTTTTAGTGAGAAGGAGAGTGCGGGACAAGGTTTTTTTTTTTTTAATAACATTGTTACTGTGGTTTTGAATTTCATGCTGAATTCCACACGAGAAAGCATCAGAGTTAAAAATATGGTAACCAAGATCCATACACAGAATGCCAACTGGTTACAGCCCCAGCTAATAGAAAGAGAAATTATACTAATATTTCTTACACCATTTGTTTCATGCCAATTCTATGAGAAGCAGTAATGGGAAAACTTAAATGGTTCTGAGTTTTGGTTTGCAAGAGCATCTATAATTCAATATGATTATATATCTACCCTTCTGGAGTATGCATAGTGAGGCTGGAAATCTCAAGAAATTTCCAGTTTTTCCTGCTTCCACTCAAGTTGAAAATATCTTAAGAATAGCCCCTCCCTATCACAATATTATGGCCCTTCTGTGTATGATCTAGTTAGAAGCTGGAAGTGAAATGAGGCCCATTACAGAAAAAATGACGGGGAAAATTTAACAGAACTTCTCCAAGTCTCAAAAACATGTCTGATTTGGACTTTTGTTGGAGGTTAATTCTTATTTTCTTTAATTTTGTTTGCCTATATCTAGTAAAACAATATGCCCTCCATTGCCTGGGGGGACTGAAAATGTAGTTAACCTGTTTAGTTTTCAAAGGAAACCGTAATATTCTTCAAATAAATCAGTATATACAAAATTTTCTTGAGGATCCTAAATCTTGGCTCCATCTCAGAGGAGGCATACACGAGGTACTGTAGTATAAACTGTGTAAGCAGGATTACAATCAGTATTACTAGCATCTACTTCATGCCATTATTGAAATGTATACTATATCCATGATTTTTCTTAATCAGTTCTGTGCAGGGAATACATGCCAACTAGGTAACATGGAGCCCCATTTTGGTGAGGGTTTGTTATACTTGTAGATCCTTTGGCTATTCCCTTCCATGGAGGTAGGCTCTAGGACTGCAGATTTTACTGTCATCCTTAGGCCACTATATGAAATGGCTCTACTCCTGCTTAGTGGCTTTTAGAGGGGAGAACTTCTCTTCAGTTGCTCTGGTGGGTTTTGTATTATTTATTAGTAGTAGTAGTGGCAGGAGCAGCAGTGGCAGCAGTTGTACAACAGCACCTAGGAATTCCAGTCAAATTTTAGCAGTTACATGGTTACATGTGCTGCGGGCTCTGCCAACAGCGAAGCCTTCCTGGGAGTGGTCTGGCAGCCCCTGCCAACCCACTCCCAAGGAGCCAGAGTGTATAACTTCAACTGGGGGAGAGCGGACAGGCCACCATGGACAGGGGCTGTTTTTGCCAGCTGGGCAGAGCAGCCCCCGCCTGCAGTGGGCTCCTCGGGGCTGGAGCAACCCACTACCTAGAGTGCGCAGGGAGCTTCTCCAGCCCTTACCGTTTAACCAGTTAACTTTTTACATCCCTAGCAAGGAGTGGGATAGGTGATATAACAATAAAGTGAATTTGTTAAATTAACAGAAATCACAATAAATCAGACTTGTCCATTGTCCAACTCTGTTACTCAATACTCTATTCAATGAGTAGAGTTACATCCCTGCTTAATCAAATGCAGGACCAGGGCTTTCATTTTCAATATTTTGTTTTTTGACAACAATTTTATAAAACTGTCAAGCAGGGGAGGTTTAGATTGGACATTAGGAAAAAATTCCTAACTGTCAGGGTGGTCAAATATTGGAATAAATTGCCAAGGGAGGTGGTGGAATCTCCCTCTCTGGAGATATTTAAGAACAGGTTAGATAGACATCTGTCAGGGATGGTGTAGACGGAGCTTGGTCCTGCCTTGAGGGCGGGGGGCTGGACTCGATGACCTCTCGAGGTCCCTTCCAGTCCTATTATTCTATGATTCTATGATTCTAAGATACCTTTGTAATAGAGGCATTTAAAACCCGGTGTTTATAATTTAGGTCATTACACATATTAAATTGAAATTACACTGCCACCAATTTTCCAATTAGAAGCATCAGACAGATGTAAACCAATGATTTTACATTGCTGCTAGTTATGATGATACAATAGTTTGTTTTTTATTTAGCTGCACGGAAGTATTATGTCAGAGAACAGAAAGGTAAAAACCTGTAAGAATCATTACGGTTAAACTGACCAAGGCAAGGAAATTCAGATACTCAAATTTCTTCACTGTTCCTCCACCTCACTGCACAGAAGGCTGTAAATAAACTAATAAGTAAATAAAGTAACCTACATTAATTAATAAGATATTACACAAGGAGTTTAATGTGCTCATTATTCAGCTCTTTCAACAGTAAAACAATCTGGAAACCAGTCCAGCCACTTATTAAGGAACTGTTTTAAGAACAACAACTAAGCTGTTGAAAGGGGGTATAAAAATGACTGACCTCTCCTACTCCATCTTCTTATTCCTCCTCCGAAAGTGCTTCACTGAAGCCTTATAACTTTTACTTTCTGTTAAGCACACTGATCTGGGGAGCTTTGAAACAGTTTCTGATTCAGTTTTTCCATGGCTAATGAATTAAAAACAACTCCCAGAACTTAATTGCTGGAAACAGGAATGAGATAGGGGTAGAGGTATGGATGAGTACTACTCTGCTGCTGGGTTTTCTTTCACTAATCACTTCCATAAAAACTTTTACTAATGGAAAATTGATTGTAGATTACCACATTATATGTTATCATTCTGTAAACCATACCATATACATTGACATACATAGAAAATTGCATGGAACACAGATACTTTCATAGATTTCATATTTCTCTAATAAATCTATAGGAAATAGCCACCCATTTTGCTCAAATTAGCAATCTGAAAATTCAAAAGGTACAGTAAAAAGTACCTCACACCAGACATAAATTGTGAAATTCACTTGAAACTAATGTTAGAGATAATGGACATTTCTGTGTTAGTGCTTGCGGTGCTTCAACTGTGCTGAAATAATCCATGGTATGGATTAGGGCATTTAAATCACAGAATTGAAAACATTTCCCTCTCCTTGTAATACTGATTGCACAATCACAAAATCTTTAATTGGTACTTATTTGGAGTTTTTAAATTATTAAATATAATTATTAAGTAGTGGCTTTCACCTCTGAAAAATTGTGTTTATCTCCTTGTTACTATAAGTATAAAATTAAACAATTATTTTGGTGTCAGCCTATAATGGCTGCTATTTTTTAAACAAATCCTTCATAAATCCTTATCAAATACATAGTATCTGTTTGCGAATGTTGACTTTGTAATGGCAATCACTTCATAAAAGCTACTGCATGACTGTTAGTGTAGCTCATGAAGAGATGGCAAAGGAGCTCTGAGATAATTTGCAGAGCTGCGTATGTAAGTTTGCACAGAGCTTGATGCATTGGTGGCTTTCTTAAGGCATTTTCTTTTATTTTTCCTAATAACAAAATAGGAGAAAGAGAGAAAAAAGAAGACACTATACAGTACATATGCAAATACAATTCTAGGGCAGCCATGGACAGTAATATGGAAACACTTCTCTGGAGAAAAAAAGTCAGAGATTAAGGGCCAAATTCTGCCCTGCAACCACTATAGATATAGATGCAAAATCTCTATTGTTAGTCCCTTTTTCCCATTTCTGAAAAGACATAGATGACAAACCTTGCTATCAATTTCACTGCTCCCAAGAGCAGACTGAATCACATACAGCAATGCATCAGTAAGTCCATCACACTCTCTCATTCTTCTGCGGGCCTCCTCTCCAGCAGAGCTGACATTCCTACAAGACAATGGTGAGGATGATCACTATTTTCTGGTTAATAATAGCATGACAAATACAGGTGGAGTTTCTAGCAATCACTACTGTGGCTATAAATATGTTTAATCAAAGATTTTGGGCCAAATTGTTGGGCATTAAGATCAACAGAAGAAAGCCAATTTACATTACCAGAAAATTTGATCCTGTAGATTTACCATTTAATTATTAAACTTACTTTAAATGCACACTGTAATTAAATAAATACAACACAGTTAAATATGGCTAAAGTTCTTGGTCTTGAACTTTCCATCAAATGCTCTCACAATGTAATTTGGTTTTTATCACACAGCCATACTTTTCATTTTCAAAGCATCAAAGCAATTAACCTACCATGTCAAGCACTCAACAGGTGGTTTTATTACTGGGCTTCTGCATGTCCAATCTTTAGGCTAAATGAAATGCTCTTAATGACTGTGGTGTATGATCTGCAAGTCAAGTGAATGCCAACCTTGCACCTACTCTCTGGTCCATTTAAATAGGACCTAAAGGGTGAATTGGTGGAAAAAAACCAAACATCTATTTCTGTATGTACTTAATCCCTTACAAGAAATCTATCCCCTCTTTCATGCAAAAACATCTTTGTGGCATTAAACACGTTCTGCAGAAATTATATTGTACTTAAAAGAAAAATGCATCTGAAAAGTCAACACATGGTTACACTTTCTCATTTCTATGGAAAACCGCTGCTCTTAATACATAGAAGTAAAATCAGCATGTCCACTAGAACCATTTTGTATTGTGTTTGTGGTGTTTTATTTTGTTTTGTTAGAAACACTTCTCCCTATCAAATCCCTGTCTTAACATGTCATTGTCTCTGATAGGTAATGGCTTGCTGTATCAGAGTCATCTCACTTATGAATGTAATACCATGTTCATTAGTTTCTCTGCATATTACTGAGATCACATGATTTTTAACCCCTCCTATCCCTAGAGGTGAAAGTAAGCCAGCCTGGTGCTCCAGCAAGAGCTGCAGGAGGAGGCAGGGTGCGCTCCCATTTGGGTTCCAGGGGCTTTTCTGCAGGCTGCTGCACTAAGCACCAGGCAGCCAGGCTAGTTAAAGGCCGGAACTTTAAGGAAAATACCAAATATTGCAAGACTCTCAATAAGATGGCAAGAGAGCTGGCAAATGTGCATTTCTAAGATTTATTCCCCCAGTTATAAATGGTAAAAAAGAGCATTTTGACAGTATTTTTTAAACATGAGGCTAGAAATATAAACACGTGTGTATATAGGCATGCACTTCATCCACTTTTATCAAAGTTCCCTAATGTGTCATTAAGTATACACATTATAGAATTTATTTTATTCTAAATTATTCATAAAAGATCAGTGTCATATTCAATGCGGAATATCTTCAATGATAATGATTCTGCAACCTCTCTTGATAGTTTGTTCCATTGTTTAACTGGTTTTTAGCTGGCAATTTTCTTAATATTTAATTTAATATTTCAAGCATGAATTTCTCGGACATCTCTGCTCCTAATCTGTGTCGGAACATTTCCTGTGTTTCTACAGCACGCAGAGCAGTTCAGCCTCATTCAAAATTCCTGAATAATAATATGAGAATCTTCTTTGAAAATGTACCATAGGCCTTTGTTGAAATAGTCTGCTGTTTTACCTTTAGCTATTCAGTTTCTTGATCAGGCATAATTTGTTTTTGATTAACTCCATGCTACCTAATATTTATTAGATTATTTTCTTTTAGATGCGTATAAATTGGCTTGATTGGATACTCTTAATAGTCTTTCAGTGTTTGATTAATTGTTCTAGCAGTTTCTCAGGTATTAAAATTCAATTTATACTTGTTCAACATTTCTAGGGTTTCTTTACTTCCCTACTTTAAAGATGAATCCTGTATTTGCCCCTAACCAATTCCATGGGAATTCATCTGTTTTCCATCATTTCCATGAACATAAAACTACTTAGCAGGAAGGGAAATAATGCCCTTTTCATTTTTCATGGCTGGTACATGTCTCCTTCATCAGAGCTTGATGCGTCACCTGTATTTACAAGAATAATAGAAAAGGAACTGGAAAAATGCTTGAGTTAGTTCAGGATAAACTGAGAATATAGAGACACTGTTCTATTTGTCAGAGAATATAATTCAGCAGACATGTAAAATATAGAGAAAATGGATAGGAACTTCTATGCAACTGAGATCTTTCTTACTGATCAATAAACTACATTTCCCAACAGTGCCTAAGGTTCTTTATTTTTATAATAAAACTAATGTCCGTGCTTGGGCCAAAATTTTAAAAACTGCAACAGGCGAGGAAAAATAATCTCCTTCCTCACTTGAGACTGTTGAAAAGGAATTTTTCCCTCTTCACTTTTTGCATGAAAATTTTGCAGCACTCTCTGATGTACTTGACCTTGTTTTAGCCTATAAGCAAATAATACTAACAGATGACAATAAAAACTCTTGGTTTTGACAGCTCTCCCCCCTTGGCTTACTCCTGATGTGGTTCATGTAAATTTCAGGAATATACTTATGCTTCTCTATACACTGTCAGAAATATTTAGAATGCCTGATTTGATTACAATAAAAGTATGACTTTAGAACTTAACATGAGATCAAAACTCATTTTCATCCAGGGTCCAACTTTTACCCTGAACTGTGTAATGCTAGCAGACATGTCCTAGCTACAGAAGATATATTTGTCTTCAGACAAATACGAAATGACCAGCGCATCAAGTAAAATTAACAGTTAAAAACACATATCTGACACGGTACTTTTTTGAAATAAAAGCACTGTACATTTATTTGAAAATAAAATCCTACTCAGAGTCACTGAAAAATCCTTACTTAGTTAGGCCCCTTTTTCCTTTGCCCCATGCTATGACCATCTGAGTTAGAAAAGATTTCAGAAAGACAAAATTGTGGCTCATGCTTTGTTCAATGATGTATTATGTTTTCTCATAGGGGCAGTTTGTGACTCCTTCGATCATTCTGCAAAACAGTTACTCTCCCAGATTGTCCTATTAGCATAACTGGGATGACTCCAGAGAGTCACTCCTCAAAAGTTTAATAAGGGGTTCAAAATGTGGCCCATGGAGGGGAGCTCTTGGAAGCTTTCTCTGGCCTGTGTGCAAAAAACTAAATGGCCTGACTGTCATGTTTGTCTGGATGTGTAATTGTGTGCCACTTGTGGGTCTTGGATCCCAACGTGCCTGGGCTTATTGGTTAATCCTATTGTCTGCATGAGCTTCCCTCCTCCCCCTGCTTGCTGCCTCTGCATCAGAGGGCAGGGGAAAATGGGAGCTGGTGCCTGTGAGGAGCTGGCTTGAGCACCTAATCCGCCTACCTCATCCCCACCCTCACGCTGCTGCCTCTAATAGACAGGCAGCAGCGGGCAGGATGAGTGGGGGCAGGCTGGAGCCGATATGCATGGGGACCTGGCTTCTGTGATTTGGTGTGAGAGAAACCCATACAGCACCAATCGCGGTTTTAGTGTCACAGATTCAGCTGAAGGCAATGGGAATCATGGAATTAAAAATACTGTGCTATGCATTGGCAATTCTTCCTTTCAGGCTGCATTTTAAAAAGATGAACCTGCTCTGCATGCATAAACTGGCAACTGTATACCTAACTGGGCACACAATGATATTTGCACATAAAGTAACATTTCAAAATGTGATCTCTTAAGAAGAGCATAAAAATTACTGCAAACTGGAATGAGATCCCTAACTCATGCGTGCACAGAAAAAAGTGGGCATCTGCCTAAACATGAAAGTGCATATTGTTATAAGTGAATAATAACTTTAGAGTCTCCCCTTCTGAGGATCCCAAGGCACTGTACAAATGTTAATAAATACAAGGCTCTTTATATTCTGAGGCAAGCTAGATAAATTCTGCATCAAGGTCACCTGCCTTTTGTGGCACTGGAATTTTACTGTAGTTCCAAGACAATTCAGAAATAGTTGTTTAAATTGATTTATATATGAAAATAAATAATACAATCAGTAACATATTCTGTGGCATATTTTGCAAGAAAAAAATAAACATACATTATGTCATCCCCAAATTTTTACTATGCAGCTTGCTGTTTATTTTTGGTCTTGACAATGCATACTGCCCTGTGAGAGGCCCAGAAGGGGTATGATCTCAGGCAGGAGGGGAGGTGGGGGCGGCTTCCAGCTCTTACTGCAACTGGGAGCGTAGTGTTGATACTCCCATCTCTACTGTACCAACGGCAGTGGTCGGAGCCCTGGGACCTTTCGAGTTGCTGTGCCCTGGCGCAGTTGCCCTGGTGCCCTCCTTGTCTGGGAAGATTTCACTGCTGGGTGGTGCAAAGTTGTGGTATTGTGCATACAGGAGGGGATACATTGATTTTCCCCTCACCCTAGTGGACAAATATGGAGGCAACTTGACTTCCTTGGGGTAGGGTAGGAAGATTTGAACTATTAGATCCCACCAAGATATGTAACAGCAAAAAGCTAACCTATTAGCAATGGTCCTAATAGCTGGAACTATATGATCCAGCAATAATACAAACACATTAGTTAAATGTTTCTGCTGAAATAGTTAACAACTGTGACATTTATATTCTCATCATTAGGCTGAAGAGCCAACACCTCCACAAAATTACTACATAACCCTTACGCCACCACTGTATTAGTTTATGTTTATTTTTGGATCAGAAACAAAATAACAAAATCACTTGGGTGGATTGAAAATTGTAATTGTAGTACACAGTTCTGCAGAGGTAAATGTTGCTGGTGCCAGCTCATAGAAAACATAGGGTCTTGATTAGGCTTGGCAATAACAGTGTGTTCTCCACATAATCAAACATCTAATAAGTCACCACTTAAGCATAGTAAATCTATTTGCTTGTATATCAAAGTAAGACTTAGTTAAAAGCATTATTAATAATGTTTTCCCTCTATTCCTTATAAATCAAATTACTGAGCAATTGATATTTGATTTCAACTCACAGCGACAAGGTTTATTGCATTATTTT